GGGCTCCAGGACGTCGGAGGCCCAAGTCGCTGTGCTGAGGCTGAGCGTCCTGACCTGGAGAAGCGCCTGCCTGGTGCCCAGGAGTGGGGGGTGGGGGGGCAGGCAGCCCTGCCTGCACCAGCATAAAGCCCAACACACTTGATGGAAGCTTCAAGTAGAAACCCTGAGGGTGGACGGTTTCACAGAACAAAAATCAGAGATGGGGGTAGGGGGAGTTGTTAAACCAGCTCTGGAAGTTTGCAGGATCGTGAGGTGGGGGCAGAAAGGATTATCAGTGAATCAGTTACAGAAAACCAACCTAACCAGACCCCAAAAAGATAAAATTCCTCAAAGGAAGGAGTTCCGCCCAGAGCACAGCCTGAAGGAACACCCTTGCTCTGGCAAGATGCAGGTCTTAGCTCTGTGACGGCCACGCCTGTATCTCTCCCCTTATCTTTCTCCTCACAAGCCTTTACAATGCAGGCTTTACCACTATGCGTGCAGATGTCTTCCACCAAACTCACCCCACGCCCTTGGATCGAAGTTGGGCTGAAGACTTTCTTAGAGGGACCCAAGAACCTCAATCTCTGAGCTCCAACATCTGAACCCCACCATCTGCAACAATTATCTAAGATAAATACAATGTGGCATTGCACAGTGGGGTGCACAGTAAGAGCCAGGGCTACCTCCAACTTGTCACAAATGAATCTCAAAAACCTGTTGACTCTTTAAGGAGCAATTTCCATTTATATGAAGGCCAAAACCAAGAAAACCAAAAACCACATTTGGATGGATGCCTCAAAACCATGTGATGGACCCCAGAGCACCCACGGAGATCTGTAACCTGCTCATTTGAACACCCCTCTCCTGGGTTTGGTGGGGTTGGGGGCCTGGCTCTCAGGACAGTATCACTCCCTCACGTTTGCAGTCACTGTGATGGAAGACAAGAGAGTGGTCAATTAGTGAGGGGCCTCCCTGGGGCACAAGGGGGTTAAGTCTCAGCACTATCACCCTATCCACAGCCACTGCAGCACAAGTTAGTTTCCTGGCCAGGGAGTGACCCACAGGGCGCAGCAGACCTCTCCTGTGTCCCTGCTGCTCCCCTCAGCAGTGGATTTCAGTAGATCCACATGTTATGGTTCCCACACTATCTGGTGAATCTTTTCACCTTCAGTACCTATGGCCTATACCCCAGTTCTTGTATATATAAATAAATAAATCTTTAAAAAATAATAACAAAACTAGCTCAGAATGGATCTTAGATCAAAGTGCAGGTCAATAAAACTTCTAGAAGATTACACAGGAAAAAAACTAAGTGAACCTGGATCTCACAGTGAGTGTTTCAATACAACATCAAAAGCATGATCCATGAAAAAAATGGGTAAGATGAACTTGCTGAAAATGAACAAATTCTACTCTGTGAAAAAAAATGGCTGAGAGGTTGAACAGGCAAAACATAGATCAGGAGAAAACATTCACAAAACACCTATCTGGTAAAGACTTGTGTCCAGAACATAGAAATACTTAAAATTCATTAATAAGAAACTGAACACATTCAAAAGCCAGTAAAAGCACTAAACGGATACTTTGCTAAAGAAGATCTACAGATGGCAGATAAGCACATGAACAGATATCAATCAGAACTACAAATTCAAACAAGATACCACTACATATCGACTGAGATGGCTAAATATAAAACACCGACAACATCAAGTGGTGATGAGGGTGTGGAGCAACAGGAGCTCTCAGTGCTGGTGGGAATGCACAATGGATCAGGCTCTTCAGAACACATCTGAGTTTCTTATGAAACTCCTAGTTTTACCATAGGATGCAACCAACCCATTCTTGGATATGTTAATAGAGTTGAAGATTTATGTTCATATAAAACCTGCATATGAATGTTTATAGCAGCTAAAAAGTGGAAGAAACTGATATTGTAACAGGTACAGGTTTCATGGACTCCGCCCCTACTCCAGATGCTGGAACTCCAAATCCCATCAGTACCAAGAAGAAGCACGCCGGGCCGTGAGGGCCGAGCTGAGCAGCCAGGTTGGGATAAAACCGGACATGTGGGCTCTGGGGGGACCTGGTGGTTCGCAACTGATCGTTTTGGCTCTCGGTGGGTTTTCAGCGGCCAGTGGAGTCCACGTCAGCAGAACTGGTAGGACATCCTAGTTAACCTGTGTTTCTCTCCCTCTTTCCCTGGGTTATTCCTTTACCTTTCTCCTTATAAATAAATCCATTATTTAACCTTTTGAGTCCGTCCATAATACGATGGAACCGTAAGCCGGGTGAAGACCCACAGACAGGCAACCCTATTCACACTGGGGTGCCCTGTAACAATATGTCCTGCAAGGGGTAGATGGATACGCAGATTGTTATCACCTAGACAATGGGATATCATTCCATACTAAAAGACATGAGCTATTGCACCACAATAGGGCACAACGAGCCTTAGCGCATATTGCAGTGTCAACAAAGTCAGTCTGAAAAGACTAATCCTGTGTGATTCCACTATAGTGTGTTTCAGAAAAGGCAAAAATAATTGATAGAAAAATCAGCAATTTGTCAGGGTTTCAGAGGATGAAGGGGATGGGGAAAGAGGGGAACAGAAGGAAATTTTAGGGTGGGGAAGCTATTCCATATGAAACTGTAACCTTGGTTACTTGACATAATGCCTTTGTCAGATACACAGGGTTGTACAACAATGGTTCATAATAATAACAATGGTTCAGTATATGAGTTATAACACCTGTATCAGCCTATCAGCCTAACACAAGATGCTAAAAATAGGGGACATTGTGAGGGAAGCAGGGGAGATCTGGAGTTCTGTTATCATTTGCTCAACAATCCTGTAAGTCTCAAGCTGTACTCATAATAAAGTATATTAGTTATTTTTAAAAACCGTGCTGAGAAAGCTCTGAGCCTGGACCTCAGCCCCATCTCCACAGTGTGTTGTGTGTGGGTTTTGGTCAGTGGCTGCTGTCTCTGTAGAGGACAGCTGCACTCTCCTGGCTGGGAAATTGCCAAGACTTAGCCATCATTTCAGAACTTTTCCTTCGGAAGTGCCAAGGGTGCCCGTGGTGTGTGTGGGGCATTCCCTGTGTTATACAGGAGCCGGGGAGCCCCTGCTTTGCTGAGCGCAAGAGTAACACCCACACGTTACTTTATTACTGCATATGTGTATTTTCCCCAAGTCATGCAAGCAGGAGTCCACATGGACAGCACATATTTTTGTATGTAGCTTAGTCCTATTATCTATGAATTTCATCACAGGGTAGTAACAAAATATTTGTAGTTCCCAGGATGACTAAGTCTGATGGAGCTGAGAGCCTCGCCCATAAAATGAAATTCAGGCTCCTTCCTCAGTGCCCTGGCCTGTTGTAACCAGCCTAACTGTCCCAGAGCCTCTGCCAAGGCCATCTGTCTGCACATCCTGAAATTTCAGTCACTTCAACAAAGCAAGCTTCCCCCTCCTGGAATGAGGAGCCCTACAGCTCCACCAACTTTCTCTCAATGACTCATTTTTCCGAAGTAGTTTATTGCCATTAATATTTGATGTCTATGTAAATTTATTTTAAAACGTAAATAAATGATTTAAAACTGAGTTTTAATAAATTTCTCTTTACTTTTCTAATTGATTCTTACTAATTTTAATAAAAATGCATGAGAGTATTAAACTGTAAATATATTTATTTTCTCAAGGGAAAGTTCAAATAGGAAACTAGCATGGGTTGCCATGGGAATAAAATAACTACAAAAAGTGTAAGCAGAAAGTTTGTGTCCAGATGTGAGAGAGAGAGAGAGAGAGAGAGGAGAACCGCGTTTGCACAGCCCGGTATCCCTGGGGCGAGCTCGGAAGCCGCGGAAGCAAGTGACAGAGTAACAGAAAACAGCTCTGCTCGCCCGCCCGCCCGCTCTCGGGTGGCCGCGTGCGACTGCAGAGCCTTCCCTTCCCTCCGCGCTTATCAGGCGCTGCTCTGGGTCGGCCCGCGGGCGCTGGGTTCCTGAAATAAAGCTCCATCAGACAGACGGTGCCCGGCCCCCGCCCCCCAGACCCGTCGGCCGGAGGAAACAAACACCTGCAGCCCGGCGGGGGCGCGAGACGCGCCCGAGAACCGCCTCCGCTGGGGTCCGCGTCTCCGCCGCCGCCGCTCAGCGCGGAATCGGGCGTGCGCGAGGCGCGGGGCGGGGGCGCCGGGCCGCGGGCTGGACTCTCCGGAGTCCGCGCGGGTCAGAGGAGGTGGGAGCTCTTAGCACGCGGGACGTGGTCCGGCGTGTGGCCGCCGAAAGTCAAGTTTTCCAGCGGAGGAGTGGGGAGCGCGCCACCGGGCCTGGCTCTCCGCAGGGTCCCCCTTTCCGCCAAGCCCCGCTGATGACCGTCCACTGGCCCTGACTTAGCGCAGCTCCCCTGCCCCCACGAAGCCCGGCTGGACGCCCGGCGGCCCGTGCCTCTGCGGGGCGCCCCACAGGCCCAACGCTTCCCAGGCGCGGCTGGGGCGAAGGTCCGCCCTAGGGCTCCCCCAGCAGGGCGCCCCGGCCTCTCCCCGGCCCCCTGGGGGCCAGCGCGGTGCAGCCCGCCAGGCCGGCTGGCGACTGGAGGCCTCTGGGCTTCCCGCGTCACCCGCGGGCTCAGGTGACGCCGCCCTCGGGGGCGCCAACCTTAGGGGGCGCTAGCGCGTCTCTGACCCCACCGGGAGTTGGTCAAGTGGGAGGAACCCCGGGGGTCCGGCGCAGAGCTCCGCGCGGTGACCGGGGGCAGGCGGAGGGGAGGGGGCAGGCGGCGGGC